TATTTTGGAGTATAATTGTCATATTATAAATATTATTAAAAATAATGTTACTAAGAGCTTTCAACTTTCAAAATTAAGTAAATGATCTCCTACTTAATATTATAGCCTATTTTTAGGAGCACTTAACATATTAAAAGAGTTTAAATTTTAATTATTAAACGAACTTAATTAATAAATATCGAATGCATTCATTTTAAGTGTTGAATTTGAATTACCAAATACACCCCTCGAAATTGTGACTAAAAAATGTAGATGTTATCTACTGTCTAGTACCTCCATCTCTCTTGATCTCTCTCTGTCCTGAGCCACACCACCTACCCCTCTCCCTCACTTTCCCCCTGCAACGCGCACACACAAATTAGGCCATAACCGACAGAGAGAGAGAGAGAGAGAGAGAGAGAGAGAGAGAGAGAGAGAGAGAGATTTGACACCCAACAGATATTCACGCACATGTTTGACACAAACACACATAGATGTTCGAATAACTGCTTCACACACAACAAAACTCACCCACCGCCTTCATTCTCTCCCCGGATAGATGACCACTGAACACTCCCACCACCACAGCCAAAATATCAACCATAGCCATCACTGCCACCAACCAAACCCTCATCCCCCTTCGGACCTTCCTCCTTCCATCAATGACTACAACGTTATGATCAAAATAAAAATTGAAAGAAAAAAAAATTAGCTCAAAGAATACGGCAAGGCATGAAAAATAGAACATCAACTAACATTCTCGTTCCACATCTGAATGCAACAAAAAGAGTAAAGGGGTTTGTGCCTATAAACTAGCAATTCTGTCTGGAAAGCTGAAGTTGGTCAAAGCTTGGTGACTTCTGTCAAATGGGCCACTTGAGTTTTAAAGTTTAATAAAAAATTAAAAAATTTGGAGGCCGGAATCAAGTCCACGTAAAAAATTTATTTGTTATGAAATTTATTTTTTTTGACAATTTTATTAGACTATCTCTTCCATTTAAAAGTGAAACTAAAAATTAAAAATTCTTAAATTTTAAGAATTTGACTAATATTAAAAAATTTCTTTCTCATTTATTATATCCATATATATATGTTAGGGCTATATCTCTAATATCTATATAATAAACTAACTTACAATTCAAATTTTAAAAATAAACAAATTGACTTTGTTTTTCGCAGTTTAGATCACTTTAAATTTTATTTTAAAGTTAATCTAACGACTAATATTAACATCTTAGATTTAATAGAAAAAATAAGTCATAAAAATGTGTTTGAAGTGACTTTTTAAAAGTATTTCTACGAATTATTTTTCATAAGTAATTTAACAAAAAAAGTATTTGAAACCACACCCACCACTAGCTCTACCACCGCCACCACTACCACTACTTCTACCACCACCACCGTCTCCACTATCGCCACCACCGTCGCCATCGTCACCACCCCCACCGCTGTCGTCGTTATCGTCACCGCCACCGCCGCCGCTATCCACGCCACCGTCGCCGCCGCCGTTATCCACGCCACCGTCGCCGCCGCCGCCTCCACTGTCACCTCGGTCATTGCTACCCACCACAATCATTACCATTTCCTACCACCACCGCTGCCGCCCACCACCTCTCACCTCTATTACAACCGATGTTTAAATTCATTTATCTCTCTTCCATGTTTCTGATTTGATTTTGGATATGAATACAAATATGTTTATTGTCTACCATTTTTTATTACTCTGTGCCTTCAGGCACAAACAATAACTAATATATATATATAGTAACATTAAAAATAAAAAATAGCAACATTCAAATATAAAAAAAAAGTATCATTTAAACACAAAAAATAGTATCATTAAAAAATAAAAAATAGTAATATTTTATATTAATATTTAAAAAAATAATAGTAACATGCTCAATAAAAAAAAGTAACATTTAATATTGATATTTCAGAAAAATAGTAATATTTAATATTAACATTAAAAACAATAAATAATAACATTCAAGCACAAAAATAGTACAATTTAAACACAAAAAATAGTACCATTTAAACATAAAAAACATAGTAACATTTAAAAAATAAAAAATAGTAACATTGTATATTAATATTTGAAAAAAAAACAATAGTGACATACTCAACAAAAACTAATATCATTGGATATTAATATTTTTGAAAAATATTAACATTTAATATTAATAGTAACATGCTTATAAAAAAAATAGTAACATCTTTAATAAAAAATAATAACATGAAAAAAAGTAGTAACATGAACAAGCCCAACAAAACAGAAATAGTAACAGGGAAAAAAATTGTACCAGTGCAATGTCGTCTTTTTCACAAAAATACACAACCAATTAAATCGAGACCTAAATCGAAACCTCGCCGATCATCCAAAAAAGTAGTAACATGGGTAAAAGAAAAATAGTAACATGCGCAAAAATAAAAAAGTAGTAGCATAATATTTCAAGAATTGAACAAATAGTAACACACTTCGAGATATTTCGTCGAAGTTTTTGGTGGGTTTGATGCTGTGGGAGTAACGGATAGGAGAGGTTTAGTGGGTTGTTGATGGCGGTGGGTTTTGATTTTTAGATTGGCGGTGGAAATGGCCTATGAGACTTTGATTTTTGGGAAGACAGATATGAGAGCTTGTGAGGAGTCTGTTTAAGAAAGGGAAGTTATATGGGGGAGAGAGAGAGAGTTATGGAAAGATTATGACAAACAATTACTAGCGTAAAATTAGGTAAACATATTTTCCTTCCATATATATCTCAATGAATTAACTTTTATAACTTTTCATAACTGAACAAAATTAGCACCGCTAGAGATATTTTTGAGATTAAAAAAAAATGGACTTAATTATCTATATATAAGTTTAAAAACAGACTTACCCCCAAATAAATTTTTTTGCCAGACCCAAGTCATTATAAGTTCATTTAGGAGGACTTAGCCTCAGTTTTCATTAAAAAATTTAGTACACATTTAGGTAGAAAGAAGTTTTGAGGAAATTGTACGGTTTTTAATGGGTTATTAAAAAAATGATCGATTTACTCCAGTTTGAACGATTTGGTGGTGGGCTAAGAGCATCTCCAACAATAAAAGTTAGTTTAGCTATTCAAAAAGTAACATTTTCTATATTTTTAACTACTTCTTTCAAGTATTATTTCTCATTCTTTTTGTAGGAATAATAAAAGGGAGAAAGAGAGAGAATAGAGAAAAACAAAAGGAGGAGAGATAAAATATTATAAATAATTTATACATATTGCTAAATTGATACTCTAAATATAGAGTTTCACTATAGTAAAATGTTATTTTACATGCTTTGGAGATATTTTGCTGGAGTGAAATTTTAGGACAAAATAACTAAATTTTGAATTTTTTGTGTATTTTAACTATTCTTTTGAAAATGCTCTAATTGTTCAAACAATTAAAAATTGGGCCGATTCAGGTACTTATTTTCTGGATTAACACCCGGATCAGGTCGGGTTTTAAAAAACTGCGTGAGAAACATCAGACCACTTCTGTTATTCAATTTAAACTGTCATTTTTCTATTCAATCAAAATTATACAAATTATAAACTTAAAGAATTACAATGGAAGGTACAAAATCGTGGTTTTTAACTTTTTAAGTTCTTCTCTTACTAAGGAAAAGAAGCACAATTTGGTTTTAGTTTTAGTTCTTATTGTCCTTTGATGGCTCTCCACGTCAAATTTGAACTCTTACTCAAATCATCTAGCTAGTTGTATTCCCCATAAAGTTAGCCTCAAGAGAGACCCAGGATTTGAGACTATGTCAATTTGGTTAAACTAATGCCCCAAACGTTATAGTGTGACAAATACTTCAATTCTGTCTTGGCTATAGTATTAATGCCATACATAGAAGAGCAATACAGGAAAGGTAACCAGTGTGGTCCCTTTGTCCAACTTGCCTATCTCCATATTTAGAGTTCTAGATATTGACCCAAGTCTCACTCATTCTACACATTACACTTCCGACAATGAGAATTATGAGGACTGCACGCAAAATTTACCTGCTTTTAGAGCACATGTATTGCAAGCCCCTCAGTAACCTCTATGTACCTTGAGTAACATATGTCACATAGTAAACTCATGAAATGTGTTAAACTTCGTCATGCCTCTGCTAAAAAGAATATATTATAAGGGTTTGGCACCCAACACAAAGCTGCAGAATTGAAGAAAAACGATTAGGAAAGCATCATTTATGATTTTTGTACATACACACTGCCCATTTACACCTACAAGTTCAGACAATGTACACTCTCAAATAAGCTAACACAGAACATAAATACGTACATAAGCTGCTAAGGTAGCCAAGAAAAACCATAAAATCAAGCAGCTTCACATGCTTCAAATTAGGAAAATATTGAACTGGCCACAGTTCTCAACTCAGACTCAATCCACAATGGAACTGCCGTTCAAGTGAAGACATATGGGGAGCCCTTCTGAGACTTGATTTATCCTTTTTGATCTGGATCAGCTTGTCATCTACACACCATGGAAAACTAAGAAAATGATCCCCACCCATTCCCTCATTGTAGCAACCCCAATACCTAGGATGATATGTTACATAATACCAAGCCGATGCTTTTGCATAAACGTCAGCATCCGAATCACTCCCTTTCTGCTTGAACCAGGTCCTGGCTGTAGAAGCTATGCCATCCAAGCCATCACAAGCTGAACAAGTCTATCCATACCCATTGGACAACAGCTAGCTATGCTTAATTCACAGAATTATTTCCATATTTATCTGCAACTATATATAGTTAGGATATACTCTGTTTTGATTCTAATTGATCTGTTTTGATTCTAATTGATCATGCAAAGGCTGTATACCTATATATATACATCACAAAGAATAATGAAAATCAATGCTCTTTATTCAAAACAATATTCAGAATTTATATGGTATTGAGTTGATTCACTGCTTCTCTTTGCATCTTTTCAAAGACACGATCTTTGACCCCAAGAGTAGACAAAAGAGTGATTATTTGACGATTCAGAAAACAAGCTTGATACTAGCTCCATGCCAGAACATCTAATTTTGTGTTTTCTGATTCATACTTGGACATGCTCTTTCTCAGTGACAACTTCATTGATAAAGTGGGATCAACAGCCACAACACCTTTGTATCCACCATACCGGATCTGAAAGGCAGATGGAGGAGTAGAACTTTTAAGGCCACATTTTGTAGCAACTCTGCGAGCTAAATCAGTAGATATTTTCTCAATTCCATCAGAGAAAACGTATCTGACTCCACCTCTTACAACCTCAACGTCAGGAATAATTTCAATTTCATGCTTAGCAACTTTCAAAGTTTCTGTGGAGGAACCAAAGGACTGACCAAGTCTGGCAGCATATTTCGCCACGTTTCTGATTTGATGAAAATCACCCGTCCACGTTCTAATATCATCTGCAGTAAACCCAGGTCTTGAAGCAAACATCCAAGCAGAATTATCCCGTAGCTGACTTGATGAAAAGGCAAGAAACTCAAATTTCTGACTACCAATAACTATGCCCTTTCTAAGAATTGACAGTATCCTCTTATAAACGGCAGTTCTTCTGTCGTCGTTTGCAGAAGCTGTACGGAGAGATAAGTCCATGGAATACATTTTATCCCCCTCCTCGTCGATAAAAGAAACCCGAAGGAAATTATCAATATATGCAGAATAATTGCGTAATACGCAATTAGACACATTAACCTCTGGACCGCAGAAATATGCTTTGCATGGGGTTATTTGAACCCTACGTACATATACCAACCCATCATCTAAAGCAAAATCAGGCGTTTTAGGAAGTTTTCTAGAAGTGCGGTATTTTAGGTATTCCTGACAAATCCACCTTAGAGGGTTATAGCAGCACTCCTTCAAATGAGACAGTTTCTCTAGGGCATGTTCAATACATCCAATATCCATTCTCCGTGGAACGACCAAGCTGAAAAAATTGATATTAAGTGCTGGTCCTGGAAGACAACCATGTGAACCAAGGAACAAATCTTGAATAATATTTTATATGGAAACTCAAGTCCAACCGACGAACCTTTGGTCTAATGGTACTCCTTACTTTATCAAGTATTTACTTGAGGTCAACGTTCAAGTCCCCTCTCCCTCCCAAAATAAAAAACTCAAGTCCACGTGGAGGACCCACAATGGGGACTAGATCCAAATTTTCAGAAAAGGTGTAACCGTTCACCAATGTAAATTGGCTTGCACTTTCTTTATAGTAAGGAAAGATTTTGTGGAAATTTGGAAGCTGAATTCCGTAAGGAATCTCCAGACATAACTAGATCAAAAGAGAGAATATGCATAGGTGTGCTAATTACCAACTCTACATACCATGTATAAGCAAAAACACGTGACAAGACATGTAAAGGGAGGTAACATGCTGATGGAGAACACATAAGTTAAACCAAGGCACCAAATAACAAAATCACAAAACACGTAGCTGAATGATCCTGTTCAAAATGAAGTAATGAAGATACTGAATATGGGACACTAATCTAATGTTTGATGAATGTCCAACGAGTCCTCAAATCAAAATTGACAATCAGCTTCACCCCAATAGTTAGGAATAGGATAATGAAGCTCCATTGGCGTTTGATCAATGCCCAAAGCCAAGAAACTATGGCTCAGATAAAACACAATTATAAGGTTGTTTTGACATTTGCTATGTCATTAAATCAAGTAGAACGTAATTGCAAAAAGTGAAACCTTTTTTCTCCATCGTAAATGATGGCAGAAGCATATTTTATAGTTAGACAAGTACAAAAATTCTGTTTCAATACAAAGTTTCGGACAACTAGGTAATGGAAATGTTTCAAGATATTTTGGAAACAAAATGTGAACTTAAAAAAAATTAAGAATTTGTTTGCAAAACATCCCGAGACACCTCGAAAGAAGAAGTTTCAATATTCAATCTTAATTGTTTTAGTTTCCATGAAAACTGAAATGTTTTAGTCGTTTTGGTGGAATGAAAAAAAATTTCCATCCTCGCCGTTAGATGACAAAAGTTTTGCACAAGTTGAAAAATAGGGTGTTTCAAAATTGTCTAATGATCAGCTAATTAAATGAGGCATCATTACTGAGCAGGCTAATTATTCAAACGAAACAATCATGTGGCTGATGCTTAGATGATCTAACTAACATAGAGCACTTCGAGGAACTGGAAGGACATCATGAACTTCTAGCAACCTCCTCACTTGTTACACTAAGAAGTATTATCGAAAAGCTAGATTAACCCCAGCTAGAAACATATCACAAGAAACACTACCAGTGCCAATGAGGTGTCCAACCTGAGTCACACTCAGGTCGCGACATTTCTTCGTTATAGATTCAAGGGAAACAACTAGAAGCGTTTCATTCAAGGGTAATCCTCTTAATAGTTGACATATGACTATTAGGACGGACTAGTCCTGATCAGTGGCAACTGGAAGATCAAACAAGCCCTAGGTAGCTATAGTGGTTCTAGGGCATGGCCACTTAAACAAGTTTAGACCCCTGTCAGATAAGGATGAAACGATTCACCTAATCCAAACAAATAAAAGGCTTTCTGAACCTTGGGACAGTTGTTGCCTCCTAATGTATTGTTCAAACTATACCGCCAACCGCATACTTCTTTTTTCTTTGATCAACGCCAGCCGCATACTTCAGCAAAGGTTACCAAGCCCATATAAACCTTGCAGTCACCAATTTCCACAAGAAGCATGTAAATTGTAACCTAGCCTATCTACTAAAAGCTCTCAGAGATACAAAATCACCCTACTGGGCTCAACCTCACACGGTGTTCTCAAGAGTCCTCCCTCTCTATTCCCAAGCACCTTTATTATTACATCACTTCGCTGGGGATGGTTTCATAATCCTGGATGGACGAATATTACTCATTTGTCCCAGTCCCACCAGAATTTTTTTTGGACAAAGTCCCACCATAATTCAAGGCATCCACAAAGAAACGTTTTTTTTCCAGTAATAGGGTACCACGACACATAAATCAATGGGTCTATATAGATCAATTTAATGGTAAAATTCTAAACTAAGTTAATCGGTTCAGAACAACTGTACTATGCATCTTAGTTTGGGGGATTTCCTAATCACTAATAATTTCACATTTACGGAAGCCATCACATAAACTAGAGGTGCAAGTTAAGAAATCCATGCAAATTAAGAACAAAGAGTGAAGAAATCCACTTGTTCAACATATAAAAGTACAATGAAAAGAAAATACTGACATGCCAATATGGTCGTATGAATGAAAATTAATGGAACAGACCTGAATGAGAAGAAACTTTGCAGTTTGACTGCGTGGACAAAGTAGCTCAACTTGCCAGATGTTTTCGTAGGATAGCACAAGCTTGTAACCAACAAAAACATTGGATAGGAAGAAGTACATTTTTTTCAATCCAATCCCAAATTTTACAGATACATTTGTCCTTTTCCAGAGAACTGAAAAATTCTCCCTTGATGTCTGACACCCAAAATGTAGGCTTACCTGTTCCATGCAATGCGCATAGGTCCGAGGCATTGGTATGATGTCAGAGTCCATTTCCCAAGCTTTCAAATAAGAAGACCCATACCAGAGCCACTGATTTGCCAATGAGATGATATCCTCGGCACTTCTGTTATTGGTAAACTGTACTTTAGCATATGCTCTATGCCCTTCTTTGGAAACCTTAACCTCTAAAGCATACACAGTTCCTTTTCCTGTATAATCCTCTAGAAATTTCAGAACCACTGCTGCAGACTCATGAGTGGGAAATCCATACACCTGAATCGTCTTACCTATCCAACTTAAGTAATTTTAACTGCAGTTTCATCATACAGAACTACATCAGTTGTGGCAACTGCACAACATTGGGTTGGGACACAAATGAAAAAATCAAAAGGAATTATTACAAATTAGAATCATAAAACTGAAACAGATACAAACCATTGGATAACAATGACACTTATCACCTGATCATTTACCAGATAGAGTGAGAAAGAGATCACCTGATACAATTTTGTATAAATAGGACGCTGGAACACAACTTAATCAAAACAAAAGCAACATTTCATGCAGATTTGGTCCTTTTTTGTCTTTTGCCATTTCTCTTCAGTCACTGTAAGAAGCTTCAACTTGTTCTTCAGCTCCCGTCCTCTACCCCCAACCCCTTTGGATCGTCTTCCCTGTCATTCTGTGCAATGAATGTGGAAAATAGCCTCTTTCATACGAATAACGCTATGCATAGCGTAAAAGTTCCTAACCAGTGTGGTCCCACTTAAGCAGCTGGGAAGAGTAGACTATATATAGAGCTAACTTTTGGTAAGTTTACCCAAAGTAACTACTCTTAGACTTGAACCTACGTACTTCATTGTTGAACTTAACAACCCCCCTAACCCATGCAGAACATGTGGAAAGGAAAGAAATTGGAATTTTTAAATGTTATCCAGTTTTGCTTTAAATCAAGTTTGATTCCATGGGCATTTTCAGCGTAAGAAAGTCTGGAACAGTTTTCTTCTATTTCATCACAATTCAAAGGTTAAAGGCGCTTTAGGTAATTTAAATACTTGTTGGCCATCAGTTGTTGAGTTATGAGCCAAGTTATCCTATTAGGTCATCTTGTGTGATCTTAGATGTCTCAGAATAGTCTACAATCAAACAACAAGCAGTTTCCCATTGCTTAGTCTTAGTCCTAGTGGAATTAAGAGAATCTCAGCAGCCTAAAATCATATTTTGATCTCCCAATTTATAATAGTGCGTTTATGCAAAACTTCTGGAACTTGGTCCGATGCTTAACGCAACCTAATCTTAATTATTACCTAGAAAGTAATGATATCAATATGGAAAACAAGTATACGAGACAAACATAGCAATACGGAGAAACCTAAAAAATAGGATACAAAACGTGACTAATTCAAGGAACCAGAACTAGCATTCACTAGATGGTTCGCTGAGAAGTATTTGTTGCCAAGAGATGATTAAGGATCATTTTTTTGTGAATTAAAGAAGTAAAGGTATATGATTAAATTTAAAACTACGCATATTGTTATGGGTCTGATTTGGCATGGGACAAAATGAAGGAAGATGGTAGAAAATCGTCTATGATAAGGACTTAAGGTATTATATGTCTTGTTCCAAACAAGGTCATGCAAAGTTAAACTGCAAACTTCGTTCAAAAAACTCTAGTGCAACTGATGCAGCTAGCAAAGAGAAGTTCAATCAGCAACCGTCAGCTCCTAACTCTAATGCCTCTAGGGAAAAATTTGAACAAGGTCAAGGAGAAAAAGCTCGCCCACGTCAAGTCTATAGGCCAATGGGCAACTCCATCAAATCATCTTTTGATAATACACATCTAATCTTTCAAACAATATTGCGGACAATTAGACAAAGCGAAATCTTTTTTTTGTTAAAATAAAACTTATCAGTACAACAATACTGCTTCTCATGATTCTCATTTGAGAGTTGATTCTTCTCATCAGGTAATATGTCATTGACTCATCTCTGACTGCTACTACTCAGATTAAGAGAAACTTATTGGACTCTGAACCAAGCCCATGATTCAATTTGAAATAGAACACACATAGTGTATATCCTACAAGTATTATCAAGTACTTAACAAGTATTGTATTTGATGCAATATTCGATAAAAGTCCTTTTAATGGGGATCGTGTAGGAATTGAATAGATATTATAGATTAGTTATTAGAGTTATTTAGATACTTTTAATATTTATCTTTTAAGTATTTATTTTAACTTTTGAGGGTTTATTTGTTTTAGGGTTTTAGTTTCTCTATATAAAGGGAAGCAAGTAAGGATTTTATTTAGATTAGACTTTGATTATTATTGAATACTGATATTGTTTCCTTCTCAAATTCTTTCTTTTTTCTCATCCCTTTCTTCTTCTCTTCTCATTCTTAATTTTTTCCTGTCTAGTCTACATCAATTTGGTATCAGAGCCAAGTTCTCAATCCAACACTACCGCTGCCATATAAACTCATTAGTCATCCTTAATTAGTCGTATTGTTGCTGTTGTTCATCGCCATAAGCAGTGAACATCTTGACCCTATTGATGCCTATTGTAAGAGAGCCTAAATAACCCAGATTTGTAGCAGTGAACAACACGATAAACATACATATTTCGGGTCTTAGATCGTTGTCCATCGATGACCTATTTTCGTGTTTCATCATCGTCTGGGAGAAGACATTTATTAGTTACTTGATTGTTATTGTCTTCGTTGAGTGTTGTGCGGACACTGTTACAAGTTTGGAACCTAGGGTTTCAGTTGGAAGAATAGAAGAGTAGCTGTAATTTTAAGGGTGATTTGGAAGCTGGTACAATTTTTTAAACTTATTTGAGCAAACATATAACACAAAAACTTATTTGGATTAAAGTACATATTTTTAAAAAATGTCAATATTTTCATTCAGTAAATAGCTGATGGGTTGAAACCCTTTGTATTCATTCCATATATTTTGGCTACAATCAAGTAATGAGAGATAAAATAGGGGCATATTTTTTATAACAATATTTCTCTCTCTCTCTCTCTCTCTTTCTCCCTATTTTCTCTTACTCTATTTATATTAATATTATAACATCACAGTTATACTAATCAGTTACAATTGTCCTATAATATACCAAACAGGTACTTATGCATTCTAATAAACTACACAGTTACACAAAATTATGACACCAAACCAATTTATCATTCAGTTGTTTACATAAATTACATAGTTTCACCATTTAGTATCGCGACATCGTTACATCATCACGTCTTAACAATTGCATGAAAATGTAATTGTTACACATATTAAAAAAATAGTTGCACCAATTAAAAAACAGTTACACCAATTAAAAACAGAATTACAACCATTAAAAACAGTTATACCCATTAAAAAAAGAATTAAACCCATTTAAAAATAGTTATACTCAATAAAAAAATAGTTAAACTCATTAAAAAAACAGTTACACCCATTAAAAAAAAAAAGAAGTTTTTTTTTCCTACATTCCAACAACGAACAATACATAATATCTAACAAAACATCTAGGCCAATTCTCTCTCTTTTTTTTTGGGGAAAAATTCATTATTTATTCACATAATTTGTGTCATTCTAATCAAATCTCATTGCCATAGAATCCTGTTGTCGAAGAAAAAGGGTTTTGATCATTAATGCCCTTATTTTACCTCTCATTAATATTGTTAATCTTTACATATGTGTTTTCTCAAATAACTGTCAGTGATGACTACATAATTTAAGGGAGTGTGTTTAGATAAAAAATTTTTTAATTCATTTGAATTTTGTACCTAAACACAAAAATTTTTATCAAAATTGTACTTAATAGAGTAAACAACTTATTTATACACTTTTGCTAAAATAAGTTTAAAAAATTGTACCCACACCCAAAAAACCCTAATTTTAATATGCTTTAAATTCAGATCCAGATTTTACTTAGTCCAAGAGGAAAATCAAACAAAGTCATGTAAACCCAGAACCTCTTCAGCCCACTACCAACCCATTTCAGCTTTGATCTGACCCATATCTTTCTAAAATGTTTGGCCCAAATGTGACGTAGTTTGATAAGACTCAGCTATCATTCATTTAATCTGGTCTAAAGCCCAAACTCCAGTTAACCCAAACCATTCCAGCCAAAACACCATTTCACCCAAATCATTACAGCCCAAATTTAACCTGACACAACTCAAGTTTGGCTCAATCCAATAACCTAACCTAATCACCCCATTTACCAAGCCCATTTGATTCAAACCCACAAGAAGCCTAGCCCAGTCTCTAAATCCAGGACTTCCCACAGACCCAATACACTCGTTGCCCCAACAGTAACTAGTACAGTACATATTTAATAAAAAAAAAAAATCCAGAAATTACATTTCCGCCCACATATTCCTGAAATAGCAGATCTGTCCCAGATTTCAAAAATTACAGTCTGCCCCAAACTTCTGAAATTACATCCTCCAGAAGTTTCAGTAATTGCAGACTCATCCCAAAAATTTCAAAAATTGAAGAAACATCCTCCAAAAATTGCAAAAATATCACCCCGGAAGTTTCAGAAACTGTAGACATATCACAAAAGGTTTTCAAAAATTTCAGAAATTCCAAAATCCTCCTCAGAAGTTTCAGAAATTACAAAATTATCCCCAAAAAAGTTTCATAATTTTCTCTTGATTATGGTATGCATACTCTCATAGAATTTGAGACTAATATTTTTATTTATTGGGAAATTAGAGAATTTGTAAAGGGTCCAAAACACATTTTCTTCTATTTAAACTTTCTCACTTCTTGAAATTGTCAATTGCATTCTTGAACTTGTTTTTATATCATTCTTATCTTTCAAGAGGCACTCATGAGTTCCTCTAATCTCTCGTCAAAGTCATTATAATAGGAAGTCTAAGAATGTTTACGTGAAGTAAACCCAAATGACCAACTAGTCAAAGATCCTTTTATATTTAGTGGCATTTTAGATCCTTTTGAATTCTTGGATTGATTAGCTAATTTAGAAGAATATTTTGATTGGCCTGGTATGTCGGATTTCCATTGCGTCCGTTTTGATAAATTGATGTTGGAGGGTTCCGCTAAACGCTATTGACAAGCAATCCAAAGAAGCTTAGACAGTTTAAAAGAATCACCTATTATCTGGGTTGAAATGAGATATAAATTGAAAGAGAAATATTTGCTTATTTCTTACACGAATTAATTTTATGACCAATTGCTCAATCTTAGATAACATTCTTTTAGTGTCTTTAATTACTTTGCGGGTTCGAATATCTCATGTACTTGTGTGACATTGTTGAAAAACCTTGGACAATTAGTTTATTCTTGAGTTGAGACAAAAAATTAGTAAGGAAGTCAAGTTATATACACTTTTAATACATTAGTTGTAACCTATCAATATGCTCTAAAGGTTAAGAGATTTCAAAAGAAATCCAACTATAGCTTGATGAGTTCTCAATCATTGTCTGATAAACAATGTGACAGAACACCTTCTAATTTTAATTCCACCACATATGAGTATGATGATTGTTTGAACGATGTCCATGTTATTTCTGCATGCTTTCCTAATCCGAATGTGGCAAATGATTTAGATATGCTAGTATCGGATAAAGAGAAAAATGTTACTCATATTGATTTTCAACTCCCTCATTTAGTTTCATTGGATCATAGTCCTCATCCTT